ATGTCTTCGGCGAACAACATCCGCGGCGGCGCGGACAGCGAGTCTTGCTCATATCGGACAACAGCTGCTGCTGGGCATTGTACCCCTTTCTTTCCGGACACATCGGTCGAAAGACGTACGTAATTAGGTAGACACATGGAGTAGGAAGGCGGCTGGGAGTAGATTGGGCCCGGCCCCGCCCCGAGAGTGACGACACACACAGCGGTCGGTAATTGGCGACGCAGGACGGCGCTGGAAGTAGATCTGGCCCTGGGAATCCAACAGCACCCCCTTCCCACGACCGATAGGCACCCGTTGCTCGACCGTCCCCCGGGCTCCACCTCCACTGCCCGCCCGCCGCGACCTCGTCGCCGCGCCGCGACCGGCGCGAGCCGTGCTGGCGAGCCGCGACCACGCAGGCACCTCTCTCGTTCGACCGCTTCGCCCCGGGGGGGACAACTGCCCCTCCTCCTCCTCCTCCTCCTCCTCCTCCTCCTCTTCCTCCTCCTCTTCCTCCTGAGAGCCGTGCTGGCGAGCCGCGACCACGCAGGCACCTCTCTCGTTCGACCGCTTCGCCCCGGGGGGGACAACTGCCCCTCCTCCTCCTCCTCCTCCTCCTCCTCCTCCTCTTCCTCCTCCTCTTCCTCCTGAGAGCCGTGCTGGCGAGCCGCGACCACGCAGGCACCTCTCTCGTTCGACCGCTTCGCCCCGGGGGGGACAACTGCCCCTCCTCCTCCTCCTCCTCCTCCTCTTCCTCCTCATCCTGCTCTACCTCCTCCTCCTCCTCCCCCTTCCCCTCATCCACCACCACCTCCTTTTTTCCTGCCCCATGCCGGTGCCGCTTTCGGTGGTGGGCAAACCTCCCTTTCGTAAGCCACCCTGCAATTAAAACGACCTGGGGCCGACAACGACGCAAAAAGGACGGCCGCGGCGCTCTCTCGCGAGCCGAAAACGGCCAACTCGCTAGTCGACGTGTCAGGGTAGGAGGTCGATCAACCTCCGACACTCTGGAGTGTCCCGGGAGCCGAAACACCAGCCCCTGGAGGCCGAGACGAATCGGAACCGCGGCGTTCGAGGCGTGCCCTCCGCCGAACAAAAGTGCCGGGGTCGTCTCGGCACCTCGGCCGCACGAACCTGCCGCAGCGGCATCGGTGCATGATCCTTCCTCCTCCGAACGGCGGGCCCGATGGACCCCGTCGGCGAACCGAGTTCGTCTAAGGCCTCAGCCTTGCATCGCTGCTCGACCGGCTTGACGCACATGCTCGCGTCCCGCGCCACTCTGGCCAGGGGGCGCAGCGCAACCTCCAGACCGGAGGAGCGGGGAAGGAGGAGGGAGAAAAGACAAGGCAAGGCAAAACGCGTGGGGAGGATCCGATTGCGCCACTCCTAGTTGCCAAGCCCCCGGCGTCACGTTTTCCTTTACAGCGTCGGCCCCCAGGGTCTCGACGCATCCCCCAGGACCCGGGTTTTTATCCTGAGTCGTTTCTTCATGGTCGCCGACGCCTCCCCGGTGCCGAAAGTGGGACAACACCGCCAGTTGTTTCTTGCTCACGACGCGAGGGGGTCTGGGTCCTCCGTCCCTGCGGAGATGCGTCATGGAGCTGTGGAGGCACGCTGCCCCACATGCGGGCAGAGAAGGGCCGCCTGTGGGGCCCACCGGGGGCCGCCGCGGAGGCCGAGGGGCAAGTCAACATCGGCACAGGCATCGCCACTGGGTCCTGCCCCCGCTCATGCCCCCTCCTCCTCCTCCTCCTCCTCCTCCTCCTCCTCCTCCTCCTCCTCCTCCTCCTCCTCCTCCTCCTCCTCCTACCTCTCTCTCTCCCCTACTCCCGCGCACTCCCACGCGCGAGCGCCTTCCGTTTTTGCGAGGTGGGGAGGCGTTCCAGTCCCATAGTACATCAACTTGTGCCGCAATGGATCCCGAGATTGTGGGCAGGAGGGTGGGAATCGGCGGGACCCTCTGACTCGTTTGACCTGGCCAACTCGGCTTCCACTCCCACTCCCACTCCCACTCCCGCTCCCGCTCCCGCTCCCGCTCCACTCCCCCCTCCCGCCCTCTCCTTCTCCTCCTCCCTTCCCTCCCTCTCATCCTCCTCCTCCTCCTCCTCCTGCTCCTCCTCCTCCTCCTGCTCCTCCTCCTCCTCTTGCTCTTCGTCCTCCTCCTCCTCCTCCTCCTCCTCCTCCTCCTTCTCCCTTCCCCCCCTTCGCTGCACACCCCTTCCCCTCCTCCCCAGAGAACCTGGGAGCTGATCTGGGTCAGCGACTCCCAGTTGGCCGTGCCGCTGGCGGCCACCAACGTCACGTGGACCCTGATGCCACTGGCCTCGGCCTGCGTCAAGCACGAGAGCAGGTCCACATCCCCGGGCTGTATGGACCGGCTGTCCGTGAAGATGGCCCGGGGGCCCCGCCATCCACCTGCACCGTTCCTGGCAGGGACAATCCTGTGGCCGAGAGCGCATGTAATTTAGGAGGCAACTACCAGGAGGTCTTCGTCGGAAGGATTAGGGAGAATTGAGCCCCATTGGGGGGCTGCTGCGCCGGATTGGGCCGCGGATTAAGCGGGATTAAGCGGGATTAATCCAGAGTAAACGGGATGAAGCCAGATTCAGCCGGATTTTGGACCAGGGCACAGGCAGAATTTGACCTCCCAGAAGTTGCATCCGAATGTGATGTACGAAGGCGCATCAAATAAGATATCAGCCCTGTCAAATGATCCACGTTTTTGCTTGATCCCCTGTGGCCCCAGACCCACAGAAGCTGTGGGGCACCTGAGGAAGCCGACAGATCGACGACAGGGGTGCCCTAACATGTCTTGTAGCTGCATGTTGACCGTTTGAGTTTATTGTTTACTAGACAATAACAGGGCCTACAACCCGTGCTGGACTGTAGGGCATATGGTACTCGCCGTTCGTCTGGGGAGCATACCGCCCCCAGGCCGAGCTTATCGCAGACGCTGTCGTTGGTCCACCTGCTACGCTGCCTTGAGGTGGCTCGTGGGACAACGGTCGGTGGTTCAAATCGCCAAACAAATCGCCAAAATGATGCACCACCGACACCAGGTCCATGCGCGTGCGTAGATAGCTGGCGCCCCCCGAGATGTGGACAATCTTAATACACTTTAGCTCTCCGGTGAGCTTCATGATCATGTCCATCGAAACGATCAGGCCGTCCACAGCATCAGAAGACTGAGAGGATGGGATGGGGTGGGGGAGAGGGCAAAGAGGAACTCGAAAGATGTTATGGGGAGGGGGGCTAGGACACATATGATGACCGGTGAGGGGCAGCAGCGACATGGGCAGGGATACGATGAACAGGCGGACAAGGAGGGCGAATAGAAGAAGCATCCGGAGGATCATGACAATTCTGTATGTGAGCTCCACAGAAGGAGCACAAGGAGGGAAGGTGGGAGGAGGGGAAGCAATAGCAAGGCAACGAGGATGAGGATGAGGAGTAGGAGGAGGAGGAGGAGGAGGAGAAGGTTGGATCATACAGATTGTGAGTAAGCGTGGGAGTCGCGCCTGTACGCCAAGAACGGCACGTGCCGCCATCCGGCGGGCGACATGCGCTCGCTCGCGCGCGGCCCCGCCTCCACTACCTTGGCGCAGGGCACCGTGCTGCGGCGATGACGGCCCATGGCCCAATTCGGGGGGGAGCCTCGCCGAAGACATGGACAATCGCCGAAGACATGGACAATGGACGAAGGCATTGCCCCACCCCCTTCTTGCTCTTCTGGTGGGAAAAACATCCTACTCATCGGTCGGAAGAAATAGGTAGAAGCATGGAGTGGGGAGGCGGAACAAATAGATTGGGCTCGGGCCCGCCCAGAGAGTTACAACATGCACCAAAAGCACACATCGGTTCTGGAAGTAGGAAGGCCCTTGAAGTACAGTGGGTTCTGGGAAATCCAGAAATATCTACTTTCGACGACCGATGGGTAAGTACACAGAAACTGCCAGAACTCTGCGCGGACACCTTGGATTAAGTCGGGCCTGTCCCCCTACAGGGGGATTGTCGACGAAAAATAAAAAATACCAAAAATAATCAAACAAATAATCCAAAAATAACTAGTCCAGGGACTATTTTTTGAGTATTGTTGGACCTTTTGGGGGTACTTTGGGGGTATCTTTTATTTTTCGTCGAAAATCCCCTTGTAGGGGGACAGGCCCGACTTACACCTTGGATCCACCCGCGCCGGGCCCCCACCCCGGCGCGCCGAGCGCGCCGGGGGCGGCGCGGGAGGCACCAGCCAGGCGGGCCCGGCGCCGAGCCAGGCAGGCAGTCCGCGCGGATCTCTGGAGGCTTCTGCGGTTATTCCTCGTCGATGTGATCCCCGATCTCAGCGGCGTGCAGCGGAGGATTTTGGACGAATAATAAGAAAAATCAAAGCATATTCCACAACAAAGCCAAAATAGTAAAAAAATCGTCCACAGACGATTTCTTTTTGACTAATTTTGAATAACCCCCCTGGAGAGGGACAGGCCCGACTTAAGACTATTCTGGGGGGAAAAGCATCTTACGTAAACAGAAACTTCCAGAGCTCTGCGCGGACATCCGGGATCCGCGCTGGACCCCCCGCCCCGGGGCGCGCGGAATGCGCCGGGGGCGGCGCGGGGGGCGCCGCCAGGCGGGCCCAACGCCGATCCAGGCAATCCGCGCGGGTCTCCGACAGCTTCTGCGGTGTTTCCTTGTCGATCTGCTCCCCGATCTTGGCGGCGTGCAGAGGGGGGTCAATTTGTTTTTTGTTTTTCCCCACCCCCAAGACAAATCCGCTGCCCCTCATGGGGGCTATACCCGTCCACAACAGAGAACGATCGTGCCCGATTGGCCGGTCGGGGTAATTGTCACCGCATTCCCGGCGGTCGGCACGCTCCACTAGACGTGAAACGCTCTTGTGAGGACAGCCTGAACAGGAGGCTGCTCCTCAGAAGGCGCTGGCGCTACGTCTGCAGACGGGGCCCGCCCACTCGAAGAAGCAGGGGTGCTTCTACGAAGCCTTCCCCCCTCCCCAGCAGATCCCAGACTCGAGCCGATGAATCGGATCGGCGATCGAAACGGATCGGATCGGCGGACATCGGCAGCCGAGTCGGGAAGAGTCGGATGGGCGGGAGTCGGCAGACCAGTAAGGCCTCCAGTGAGACATCGGAATCCGAATCGGAATCCGAGGCCGATCGGATCGGCCTCGGGAGCAATCGAAAGCGAATCGAATTGGATCGGAGGAATCGAAACGAGCCCTGCCAAAGCACTGGCAACTTACAGTCGGGGCCCTGAAGAAGGAACACTTTTGGTAGGGGAGGGGCTCCGCGTTCCTTAAGTGTTTCACAGCTTGCCTCAGGTTTTCCTCCGGTTTTCGATAGGATGTCGAACTTTCACTGATGGGAAAAAGGGGCCTCGTTCCTTATTTAAGGTTCCTTAGGTCACTGCCCCGACTGTACTTTGCAACACCCATGCGGCAGCGGTTGCGATTACTGCGTGGCGCTGGCTGGGGCATTGCCGCGGCCGCGCTAGCACGCGCAAGCTCGCGCGAAGAGCGGCCAGCCAGTCAGGCGCGGCCGATGCGGCCGCGCTGGCGTGGACCGCTGGGTGCTTCCCGGCGCGTCTGGCAATCAGCGCTGACGCGCGGGCATGTCATTATGCACTGTTTGCGGGGCAGTATCTGTGGTGCAATCCAGGTCGTGCAAGCCTTCCTCCCCTCCCCCGGAACCTCCCTGCGCGCGGCCGACAGTCGTCGGCTACGAGCGAGGGCGCGCTCTCCGCGGCGCTGGATGCCCCGCCGCGCCCACGCTGGTGGGCAAACCTGCCACCACCACTCCCACAGGCAGGGCGGGGGAGAAGGGAGGAGAGGATGGGGAGGTTCTCCTCCTCCTCCTCCTCCTCCTCCTCCTCCTCCTCCTCCTCCTCCCTTCGAGCTTCGGCCTCGCTGCACGGTGGGGGCTCCCCTCTGCGCGCTGGCGGCCAGTCTGTGGACTGACCCTGGGGGAGACGGGAGGATGGGGAGGTCCTCCTCCTCCTTCTCCTCCTCCCTCCGCTACCTATGGTAGTGGTGGTGGAACGTGGGCTCATCACACGACGCCCAGTCGCGCGCGCGCGGCAGCTCGCGGAGCAGCCGTGCGCGTTGCTCTGGCTATCGCCTGGCATCGAGCGCAGGTGCCCTGATGGTGGTCGACCTCGTCCTCTGCACGAGGGCTGAGACGAAGCCAGGACGAGGACAACATCGGATGAGGATCAATCGAGAAGCTCTGAGATCCTGCGGTTCTGAGAGAGGAGGAGGAGGAGAGGGGGGAGGAGGAGGAAGAGGAGAATGAGGAGGAGGAGGGGGAGGAGGAGGAGGAGGGGGATGATGATGAGGAGGAGAACCTCTGAGACTGTAGCGAGTGCCGCGGCCTCTTCAGAGCGTTCCGCAACGCTCTGGAACGGGCCTATCCTCGTCCCAGCCCCGCCCGCAGAGCGGCACCCCAGCAGGGCGGGGCCTATTCCCAGGGTCAGTCCACAGACTGGCCGCCAGCGCGCAGAGGGGAGCCTCCACCGTGCAGCGAGGCCGAAGCTCGAAGGGAGGAGGAAGAGGAGGAGGAGGAGGAGGAGGAGGAGGAGGAGGAGGAGGAGGAGGAGGAGGAGGAGGAGGAGGAGGAAGAGCAGCAGATCTATCCTCGTCCCAGCTCCGTCCGCTGGGAGGCCCCCAGGCGACTGCGGGCGACCCTGAAAAGCCGCGGCCCTGCCGCTGGCTGGGCGAGGGGCAGCGGGGGGCTCCGGCCCGCCCCCGCGGGAGCCGGGGGTGCTGCGCGAGCGGGGGCAGCTCGGGGCCAGCCGTTGTCGTCCTGCTCTCGAGGCGCAGAGTTCGGCCTTCGCTGCGCCTCTGTCGCAGAGCGGAACCAACTCGCAGTCGGTCCACGAAGTCACCAAAACGCCGCTTGGCTCGAGCATTCCGGCACCCGTGCACCGTATCATGTTTGGACTCCCTTGAGGCCCCGCTCCAACGCGGTGCGATTCATAGCAGCTCGGCCCTAAGAGGCCTAGAAGCCGTACACCGTACCAGCCCTGGGCCGAGGATCGACGACGACGCCTCGGGAGAGGCCAACGCGGTACGGTGCACAGAAGTCCACCTCGTCCTTTGACTCAGTGCAGTCAGGGAGCCCGCACTTGGCTCTGTGGACGTGCGCGGGCCCCGTCGTAGCCAGCCGGCGCATCGCGCTTCGAAACAAAGCTCGTTGACCGGTGGTCGGGCAGGATTTGATTATCGGCAATTGAGCAGGGACCGACCGTCCCGGCATTCCTATAGTCCTACCACGAAATGTTCTTAGAACCCCCAAATGTTCTAAGAACAGAAACAAATGTTCTTCGAACATGAAAAAAACCCGACGTGCCAAAACAAGACAGTCCCAGCCAGAAAGGTTCTAGGAACATTTCGTGGAAACCACAAAAGGTTCCCAGAACGCTGCTTGGTAGGCCTGTAGGCACGCCAGGACGCCTCGCCAATGCTCGAGGCAAGGTGTGCGTGCGTGCAGCAGCGCGCTTGCGGGCCAGCGCCGCACGCGGTGGGCCACGTGTCGGCTGTCACGCACACGCATGGCGCGGCAGGAGCGGCCCCTGCTCTCGCACTCGACTCTCCTCTCCAACAGGTTGATCGTCTTGCCCGGGGCGTCTGGGACGTCTCTCTTGCGTGCTGCCCTGCACGCTTCCTTCACGATGCACGTCGTTCATGTCTAATCGTGCTCATTTCTAAATATGCTCGTTTCTAACTGTTCCTAGCCCCCTAGTGGCCAGGAAGAGGCCCAGGATTGAACAATTAGAAATGAAAGGATCTTGGCCCCCAAAAAATCAAAGAACTCCCGAAAAATTTGAAATCAACAACTTGTACGTGTCTCGACTCTCTTCCGGCACGGAATGCTCGATGTCCGCGCCGCCGCCGGTGCGATGTGGGCGGCGCGCGGCGTGGACGTGGTGGACAGTGGAGTCCTTGCCCACCCATCATTCGGCACACCAAACAAAGATTGTAGGAGAGCCCAGAATCGATCGGAAGAGGGCAACGTGAGACAACGGCCGTGAGACAACGGTGGCCAAATCGGCTCAAAATCGGTCCCCGGACCCCTCCTGGGGTCCAAACGCACCGATTTTTCACGCTGCGTCCAGCCGTGGCGACGAGGAGGCCCCTCGGAGGCGAGAAAGGCAAAAACGTCACCCTTGTCGCACCCTGCCCTCCTCTGAATCGATGAGTCGGATCGGCGATCGAAACGAGTCGGACCGGCGGAACTCGGCACCCAGGTCGAGAGGAGTCGGCTCGGCGGACATCGGCAGGCGAGTGGGCCTCCACTGAGCAGTCGGAGGCCAAATCGGAAGCAATCGAAGTCGCATCGGATCGGAAGCAATCGAGATCGAATCGAATCGAAGGAATCGCAACGAGCCCTGCTACAGTCGGGGCCCTGAAGAAGGAACCCTTTTGGTCGGGGAGGCGCTCCGCGCTCCTCAAGCGTTTCGCAGCTTGCCTCAGGCTTCCCTTGTGCTTTCGACAGGAAATCGAAAGCTAACTCATGGAAAAAAGGGCCTCGTCCCTTATTTAGGGCTCCTTATGTCAAGCCCCCGACTGTATCCCGAGTCGGGGGCCGCGCAGCCGTAGAGCGCCTCGCAGTGCAGCTCCCATGCTCGCAGCGTGCGCAGGGCCGCGCGCACAGCGACAGTGATCGCTGCCGAGTGCGCCGAGCCGCTCATCGGTGCTAGAGGGCATCCAGCTAGGAGGAGGAGGAGGAGGAGGAGGAGGAGGAGGAGGAGGAGGAGGAGGAGGAAGAGGAAAGGGAAGAAGAGGATGTTGAGGAGGAGGAGGAAAGCCTCTCCACCAGGCGGCTGTGCGTCCAGCATCTGCAGGGCGGCCAGGTCGGGCGCGCACACCTTTCCCTCCCGCGCCGCGACCACGTTGGCATAGCCGTCGGCCTGCAGGTCGTTGCAGGTGGCCGCGGCGCCGAAAAAAACTACGCCCACCTCGGTCACCGGACGCCAGCTACTGTCAACATGTTGTATTTGCGCAGGCCATCCTTTTTGGATCAAGGCCTGACGGCCTCAAAGAGGCCCGCCCGAAACAAAACCCGAGAGGGCTTCACAAGCCCTCAAACAGGCCCGAATAGACATCCCAGGTGAAGTGGCCTCGAAGGAGGTCTCAGAGGTCTCTGATTTCAGTATTGGTCATAGCTTATTATGGCTGGTCTCGAAACAGTGCTTGCACTCAAGGGTTTTAGTAGTGTTGCTGAGACATTGGATGGGTGCGTCCGGGTGTCGGCTGCTGGCCGTCGTTGCGGCCTCGTCGCCACCTCGTGCGCTGGGTGTGTGCGTCGGGGTTGGAGCAGGTGCTCGTTTGGAGCCCCCTCGTTGTCGCCTCGTGTGCTGGGTGGGTGTGTCAGGGTTTGGCAGTTGCCCGATTAATGCCGCCACGTTTCCGCCTCGTGTGCTAGGTGGGTATGTCGGGGTTAGGCTGGTGGCCTGCTAGCGCCGCCTGGTTGCCGCCTGGTTGCCGCCTCGTGCGCCGGGTGGGTATGTCGGGTTTTCGGGTGGTGGCAAGCATTTTCCAGGACTCCAGCCTTTCGTTTTCACGGTGCTATACTGAAGTCGGGCGTGTCCTCCTGCAGGCGGATTTTGGACGAACAAGAAAAAATACTTAAAAACATGCTCCAACATTGCCAGAAATAGTAGAACAACTCGTCCCCTGACTATTTTTTTAAACTATTTTTGAATATTCCCCATGTAGAGGGACAGGCCCGACTTAACGCTATGGGTGCTCCAGCACGTGGGATCTCAGGGCGCGCCTGTCCAGGCCAGGCCGATCTCGGGCCAGGCACCGGCGGGTGCGCCGTTCCACGGCCCCAGCCAGGAGGGCGCGTGTGGAGTATGCTGTTTCGGGCCAGCGGGGAGGGATTTCATATGTAGATATACGTCGACCTCTGAGATGGAGCTCTGGCCTAGATGTGTAGCTGGAGGCTTGACAAAACGAAATCTGATGGCCATACCACAAGCAGAACGGGGGACGACGAGCAGTAGGGGGAGCATGACGAACAGGACGAACAAGAGAAAGAGCCGTTCCCGCTTTCCGGAACCCCAGAGCAAAGACGGCACGGTAGAGTCTGAAGCGAGACCGAAACCCCAGGCTCGGCCCGGTCAAGATCGGTGATATTGAGTAGACGGTTGGCGTCCACGACCCGGACTTCCCCATTCAGTTGATTTGGTGACGTGCTCCCGAGGACATCGCGCATGGATGTTCCCTCGCGGAGCGAGTCGTGTGGACATGTGCCCCCGCGGGGGATGGGAAGGCGTCCGTTCCGAATCCACAGAGGGCGCCTGCACACCAGCGCCACGTCTGGCCAGGACCATCCTTGGCCCTGGCCTGCTACGTCTTCACTCTGGGCCGAGACCAGGGTGTGAATGTGTGTGTGTGTGTGTGTGTGTGATGGCCCTGGCCAGGCGTGGTGGTGGTGGTGCAGTCGGGCTGCTGGGAACGCTGAATCAGGAACGATGCCCCTTTGCGGCGCCAGAAGAGCCTGGGTGCACGAGGACGGCTAGAGGAACAACCACGGAATGAGTTAAGGATCAGCGAGCCCCATCCGAACCCATCACTATTCCAACGTATTGGCTGTACGCATGCAGTCTGCGGATCCACTGCTCCGCGAGGTCATTGGGGGCGCGCCCCCCGATCGCCGGATGTGGAACACTGAAGAGTGCAGCCATGACCGGTTACATGGAGGCCTCAAGAATAGGGTCCGATTCGATGGGATTGGAAAATCGTGCCGCATCGACGATGCATCGCCGACGCATCGGCGATGCATCGGTGAAGTTGGCGACGCATCGGCGCCGTCGGCGTGGAGAACATCGGGCACCACATCGCGCCGAATCGCCGATGCATCAACGGTGCGGTGCGCCCCTGCGACCTCACCTACCCGGACCCAACTTGGGAGGCCCTGACTAGAGGCAGCCGCTGAGGGAACAGCGAAGCTGCGTGGGCGGCTGGGCTAGAAGAAGGACAACCGGCATAACAATAAACTTTTGGCGCTCCGCGCGGATTTCTTGGATCCGCGCGGAGCGCCCAAAGCTGTCATTTATGCCGTTTTCTCTTCTTCGATGGGCGCCCCCCGGACCTCGTGCTTTGGCATGAACAGCAGCTTCTGCTGCACGAGGTCCCTGGCGAGCCGGACGGCCACGCCCGCCTTGGTCACCTTCCAGGCGTAATGCCAAAAGGGAGGGGAGCGCCACCATTCGGGGGATCGCCACCTCCTCGAGGCATGGCCACGTGCTCCCCAAAAGAGTGGGGGTTCCAGCACACCCCAGGACTCTTAAACGTCAAAGCATATCCTCGAGCTTCGACACTGGCGCCTACCCTAGTAGTGAGGATCACAGGCAAGTCCTCGAGCAGATCCTTCGATACCTCAAGCATATCCTCGAGCATAGCCTCCTCCTCCTCCTCTCCTCCTCCTCCACCCCCTCCTCCTCCTCCTCCTCCTCCTCCTCCTCCTCCTCCTAATGAGGAACTGGAGGCTCCCCTCGTAGTAACCCTCCTCAACACTGCGCGGACCTTGCCCGCAGCCTTGCTGTCGTCCGTGCCGGGCAGCGGCTCCTGCATGGAGCGGCCCACGTCGACCAATAGGATGCTGACATTCCGGAACCTCCGCGGGGAGAAGGGGGCCAACGCGGAGCGACCCGCAGCGCGAGGCGAGGCGAAGACGAGGGTTAAGCAGGGACCAACCGTCACGGCATTCCTACAGGCCTACCACAAAATGTTCTTAGAACCCGGCAATATTCGAATAACAAGAACAATCTTCTTAGAACATAAGCCCGATGTGCTAAAGCGAGACAATATCGGTCAGAAAGGTTCTAAGAACATTTCGTAGAAACCACAAGTTCTAAGAACATGTCGTAGAAACCACAACAAGTTCTTAGAACATTGTTTGGTGGGCCTACAGGCACGCCAGGACGCTTCGCCACTGCTTGAGAGGGGGGGACGGAGGTACCCACGTGAGCGGAAAGCCGGCTCGGGTGGGATGGCCCGAAGGCGCTTTGCGGCGCACCAGCAGCTGAAGCTGGCACCAAAGGATGGTGTGCACAGAAAAACAAAACGGGCCCACCCTGCAGGTTTCGACTGACTGCGCAATGGCTAATCGGCGCTGCAGCCTCCCCTGAGAACAGACCGCCCCCAGAGCATCAGCGAGGACGAGGACGACGAGGAGGACACGAAATGAGAACGATGACGAGGACGACGGGGACGGTGAAGACGAGGAAGATGACGAGGTAGACGAGGACGATGACAAGCACGATGAGGACGATGACGAGGAAGAGGAGCACATCTAGTTACCCAGCCCCGCGGAGCCGCGGAGGCCGGACGATAGAGAGAGAGAGAGAGAGAAAGAGAGGCACCGCCCTGGACGTCAGGAGGAGGCGCTCCGTCGGGGCACCGACGCCCCCCGCGAATCCCTGGTGGAGCTGCGACCGAACTCTGCACGGCTCCCAGACCCCTTTCGCGTTGTGAAAACAGGGGATGATGAAGGAGGAGGAGG